AAGGCCTTTGCACTCCCATGCTACCTCTCAGGAAGGAGCCTTGGAAGGCAGAGAAAGGTGAGAAAGGTCTCAATTCACTACAGAGAGGCTAGAGGAGGAGATACAGATGGGAGGCGAAGAAACAGATGAAAACTTGGGGGCATAGAGAAGCAGAGACAGAGAATGAATGAACACATGTAAACTCATTCATTCAAAGCAGTAGCCTTTCAAGTATATTAACTCAGAACAGAATAATCATAGTAAACTATTGCTACCCTTTCAATTGTTCAATGGCCCTTAGTCTTAAATCTTGAGTCAGCTCTTAATGGCTGAAATGGGGGAGAGAGAATTATCCTGTGGGTCTCTGGCAAAAGCAGTTATACCTGTGGGCTGAAAGATATCAAGCTAAGAACCACAGGTTCCCAACTCCTAAGGCAGACGTGATGAGGACATCTGGTCGATCGTTCAGTTCTAAGCAAAATACTGCGTACAGCTGCTGTAGAGGGGTCTCATTGGTAGACCAGCAAGCCGCAGCATTTGGCTGTGAGCAGTCCACATCTGCTACTAATAAGGATTAGTCAGTAATTTTCTAAACCATCACATCGGTAAGTTTTCTGTAACAAGTTATTAGCTTTTCAGAGAGGAATTTGTGCTGGTTCCACCCAGCTTTCTTCTCTTTCACCAGACATTTGTTTAGTGTGATAACATCTGATCAGCTTTCAAGTTACTTGACTTTTCTTGGCTTCATGAGCTGTCCTGCAGTTCAAGGTGCGTTCCCCTTCATGGAGAAACTGTTTGGAATGTGTAACTCCCGCGAGACTCAAAAGCACAACATTGCTCCCAAGCAGTTGTCCTGAAGTTAACAGTAACCTGGACAGAATTGTGAGGCTATCAACAGCCAGGTGCCTAAAGGCATCATCTCACCCTTTTATTTCCTCCCAAGTGCGGTCTGTCTCCCTCGCACCCATCCTGTGTATCAGGATGATATATTAACCACCCGTGCTGGGAGGGAGATGTCCTGACCTTCCATTCTCATGGATTTCACCAGCTTTAATGCCTGGCTCTTCAAGTGCTGCCTTTCTCTGCCAGTGACAAGACTGGCAGCCTGGGATGTGCCAGGTTCTTCACTCTAAATTGCAAAACAAAGCAGGGAATCTGTCAGCCGATTTGCAAACACTGATTTGCAAGTCACCTTGTAAACACTTGTTTCTGTACCTATTCTCTCTCCCAGGCAGTTACCTGGCTGCCATCCTGACAGGGCCCGATGTGCTGCTCCTCCAGCAACCAGTGCTCCTTCCTTCACTCTTAAACAAATCGGTTTATTTTGTACCATAAAAACACACAAAGCAAAAGCTTTCATTGAGCAGAAATCACAGAGCCTCGGGGTAAGTGCAGCGGGAGAGTCGATAATCAGAATCAGCATCAGGTCCATAGAGATGTCTTCGAATGGAGCCAACTCAGGAGTTAGATAAAAAAAGGCCACACTTTTGTTTCTAGAGGATGGCTGAAATTTTCCCAACGTAAGTTCATCTCGAAGTAAAAGATATCTAGGCGTGTGGATCTTCTTCCCACAGCACCAACTCAAAACTCCAGTTTACTGGATAATCACACAAACCAACATGTACCAGACCCAATCGAATGTATGTCTACACAGGTTCTTCCGCCCCCACCCCCAGCAGCTGAGAAATCAGGGGCTCAGGATGGTGAGGAGTTTGATTACTGGGTCCCATGGGGGAGGAGGGCGGAGTCACAATGTGACACAGATGCACCTACTCCAGAGCCTGTATTCTTAGTTATTTTGCTGAAGTACTTCTCTCTGTAATAGAAATTCTACACAACAGAAGATATTTAGATGACATCACGGAGCCTTGGCATTTTCTCCTCCATCTATTCCTGGAAAGACCTTTCCACTTAGCTTCAGTGTGAATACTAATTTCCAGCTTATCAAAATCTAGGCTTGAAGTACCAATCCTCTGGTAAAAAAGGGAGATATAATTAGAAAGCTTTAATGAAACTGGAAAGAGGGAAAACACTCAAGGTTGGTTGACTTTTTAAAAATAACATTTTCATGGATCTCAGGGTCAGAAGTTTGTGACCAACGTTGGTTAAGCTCGTTCTTACCACATGCAGGATGGCTTAGGTCATCCCACAGGGAGGAGGTCCACGCAGGTTGGAAAGTTCTACTGCATCCTACCTATCTACCTACCTATAATACTTAACTATCTACTTACCTAACTACCTACTTACCTACCCACCTGCCTTCCACGGGTCAAGTCCTGAGGAGTGCTGGGTGGCTGGGGCTCTGCAGCTTTCAGAAGAAAGGTACAGCACATGTGGAAACTAATAACCATATAAGCAACTCAGTTCCCATGAGCATAACCATCCAACCCCTGGAAAGAAGCACATGAGGCCCGGGCTGCAATGCCAGTCTTTGTCAGAAAATAAATTTATTATTGATAGTGAGTGAAGTCAGGTGTCAGTATTCATGATAGAGAAGCAGTTGTATAAGCCAAGGTTGCCTTTATGTTGATAAAAAATGCCTTATTTCACTTTAATCATAAACATTATTCCAGTAGAAGAGGGACATTTTCTCTCCTTTTTGTCTTCTTTACATGATTATCGTAAGTTAAAATGAAACAGCTCTTATATAGTCAAGGGAGAAAGGAAGCAGAAGCCCAACATGTAGTCAGGATACTCGGCCAGCACAGAGAGCCTGGATGGAAGCATCCTCCCCACTCCCATCTCCTCATCCTTGTCCCCCCACCCCCACCCCAAGCTTTGCCAGAGTGGAGGTTCACCAAGTGATGGAGCTTGGTCAGAAGAGAAAGTTGGACAGAAAGTACAAAAGGTAGAAAGGGTTGCCCTCTCGTTGTCATCACAGCCGGCGTTACTAACACTGCGGCATGTCCTTTGTGGCTGATCCCCGGTCTAGCTAGGCCGTGGCTTTCCAATGTTGTTGAGTAACTGTGATGCGCTTCTGTTCACTCTGCTCCCAGTGCTTCTCTTCATCGGCTTTTCTCTAAACAGGTTACTTTCTTACAAGGAAAAAATATGCCCCACCTCTGGAATCAACGTTGATGGAGTTTTGCTTCTTCTGAAAGTGGCTTTTATCCTCCCTTCTCAATCATGCTCTGCAAGAGAAAGAGAAGACGTTAAGTTTTACCCCTAGAAGGAGGGACCAGAAAACGGCAGCAAGGACTTAGCACCATTTGTACTGTTTCCCAAAGAAAGACTTCAAAAACACACAAAGCAAGGCATATGCCTCCTGGTCTCAAAATACCACTGCCTTTAATGGACGCCACTGCTGAACCATGTGTAGTCTATAATACAAATGACCGCTCCCTGCCCACATTCAGCTGAACCCTGAGGGGGGCAACAACCTGGACCAGGGGGAAGTGCATTTGCCATCTCACTGCCCCTACCATTTGAAATGTATGAAAGCATCTCTGGTGGCCACAGGGACTGGGCTGGAGGTGGGGGTGGGGCAGAGATTAAACCTCAAGAGTTCTGGGGAAATCTCTCAGCTGAAGACAGGATTCTCTCCCCAACAGAGAACCTCTGCCCACTGCAGGCAGGACGCACATGCTCTGGAGCTTATGATGCTGGGCAAAGCTACCCAGGTATCTGTTCCTGAAATGTTACAGAAACATCCCCTACCATCTATTTAGCTACTTATTTTTGCAGGTGAGGAGTCATTGCCGTACATCACTGCATAAGGTTTATAAATCACTGGTTTGATTTATATACTCTGTGAAATGATCACCACAATAGGTTTAGCTAACATCCATCATTTCTGAGATACAATAAAATGAAAACAACAAAATTCCTCCTTGTGACGAGAACTCTCTCAACAGCTTTCCCACCCGCAGCAGGGTTTCCTGTCGTGTCCATGTTGTACATTACATCACTGGAAGTCTACATGTGAGTGATATCATGGGATCTGTATTTCTCTGACTTATTTCACTTAGCTCAATGCCTTCAAGGTCCATCCTTGTTCTCACAAATGGTAGGATTTCCTAGGAGTGTGTGTTTATGGCTAAATGTTATGCTATTGTACATTATCACAACTTCTCTATCCATTCTTCCATCAATGAACGCCAAGGTTGTGTCCATGCCGTGGCCACTGTGAATGATGTAACTATGAGCATGAAGTGCAGACTTCTTCTCAAGTGTTTTCCTTTTCTTTGGATATATACCTAGAAGTGAAATTGCTGGATCATATGGTAGTTCTATTTTTAACTTTTTGAGAAATCTTCATACTATTTTTCATAATGTCTGAGCCAATTTACATTCCCACCAACAGTGCACAAGGGTTTCCTCTTCATCACATATTTGTCAGCATTTGTTATAACTCCCTATTGACTAGTGATGTTGAGCATATTTCATACATCTTTTTTAGAAAACTGTCTATATAGGTCTTTTGCCCATTTATTAACTTTTATTTATTTATTTTTGCTATTTAGTATGAGTTCTTTATTTACTTTGAATATTAACTACTTGTCAGATATATGGTTCCCTATTTCATGTGCTGTCTTTTTATTTTCTTGATGGTCTCTTTTGCTATCCAGAAGCTTTTCAGATTTATATAGTCCCACTTAATATGTTTTTTATTGTGTTGCTTGTGTTTTAGGTGTGATTCCCAAAAAATCATTACTAAGACCCATGTAAAGGACCTTTTCCCTTATGTTTCCTTCTAGGAGTATCATGCTTTCAGGATTTACATTTGATTCTTTAATCCACTTCAGTTAATTTTTATAGGTAGTGTAAGAGAGGAGTCAAGTTTTATTCTTTTATTTGTGAATATCCAATTTCCCCAGCATCATTTATTGAAGAGACTGTCTTTTCTCCATTGAGTATTCTTGGCTCCCATGTCAAATATTAGTTGACCCTGCTGGGTTTATTTCTGGGATCTCAATTCTGTCCCACTGGTCTACTTGTCTGCTTTTATGCCACTACCACACTGTATGTTTACTATAACTTTGTGGGAGAGCTTAAAATCAGACAGTGTAATGTCTCCTACCTTATTTTTCTTTCTCAGGATTGCTTGGACTATTGGGAGTCTTTTGTGGTTCTTTGGAAATTTTAGGATTTTTTTTTTCCTGTAAAAAAAAAAAAAAGTATACCATTGGAATTCTGATAGGGATCGCACTGAATCAACAGATGGCTTTTGGAAGGATTGGCATTTAACAAATTTAATTCTCCCAATCCATAAGACAGCTTTCCATTTATTTGTGTCTTCTTTGGTTTCCTTCATCAATGTCTTGTAGTTTTCAGAGTAGAGATCTTTCACTTTATTGGTGAAAATAAATTTATTCCTAAGTATTTTATGATTTTGTTAATTTTTATTTTTATTTTTTAAATATTTTTATTGATTTCAGAGAGAAAGAAAGAGGTAGAGAGAACAAGAGAAAAACATCAATCATGAGAGAGAGAAGAATCACTGATTGGCTGCCTCCTGCATACCCCACACTGGGGATGGAGCCGAAACCTGGGTATGTGCCTTGACTGGGAATCAAACCATGACTCCTAATTCATAGGTCTGATGTTCAATCACTGAGCCATGCCGGCCAGGCAGTATTTTATTTTTTGTTACTATTATAAATGTGACCAATCTCTTTTTTTTAAAATTCAGACTATTATTGTTAATATGTAGAAAACATTACTGATTTTTTTAATGTTAATTTTGCATCCTGCAATCTTTATTGAATTTAGCTCTAGTATGTTTTTATGACTCTTTAGAATTGTCTATATATAAATCCTAGCCAGGAAGAATCCTTAATCATCAGATTAAAACTCTATAACTAGTTGGAGCCAGGTATACAGCCTCGATTCGTAAGAATCTTAAAAAAAGGCAAGAGTGATATTTTTCCCTTTAGTTTTGAAATTACTCAATTAGAAGAAGTTAGGTCAGGTTCAAGGTTGCCTCTAATCTGTACATGCCTTCTTCCCACATCTCTTCTATCCAGCCCATCATGAAGCTCCTACCAGGTGCTATGACTTAGGTGCTATGACTTAGGTGCTATGGGGAAATCAATGCACATGCTCATGGAAAACTAAGGTGTGACACAGAATAATTACTTGTGATTTTTAAACATATTTGCTAACTATGCGCTAAAATTATTTTACTGAATAAGTAATACACACAAACAGTATAAAATTCAAGAAGAACAAAAGAATATACAATCAAATGCAATTTTTTCCTTCCTGTTTCCTGTGTATACTTCCAGGAAAGTATTTTGCCAAGGAGAGGCCAGCTCTGTAGCTGAGCAATCAGAAGAGGCAATTCAATGATCCTGCAGTACAGATAGAATGTAGAGAAAAGAAAGAGAGGGAGGGCTAGGCCAGCCCAGGCTGGGAGGCAGTGCAAAGAATCAGAGGTGGGAACAAGCCCATCTGTACGGAGGCCGAAGGAAAGAGACAGGCCTGCCTAGAGGAAAGGGTGGGTGCTCAGGATATAGCAGAGATGTAAGAAGGGCCCAGACTGAAGGTTATCCTGACACCCTGAGCATAATGAAGCCAACAGAGGAGAGTCTGGAGGAACAAAGACCAGGAAGGAGATTAGAAACCAAACAATGGTGAGGATGAGAAACAGAGCCATAAAACAAAAAACAAAAAGAAGTGGTGAGAACTAAGTTGTGGTGGATCCTCAGTGACAGGGAGATTGGTGGTGTCACCAAGAGAAACAGGGACATCAGTGAAAGGGGACACCTTGGAAATGAGGAACATGACTTAAGTTTGGGGTTTGTGAGTCTGGAATGACCTCATGGAAATGTCTAGAAGGAAGTGTAGGCTTGGGAAAAGAGGTCAAAGTCTTTAGAGATAAAGATTTAAGGTCAAGAAAAAAAAAGATTGAAATAAAGGAGAACAGAAAGAGTGGAAGGATCATAAAGTTGGTCATGGAAGTACAGGAAGCTCACACTGAAGTCTCAATGATTACAGGTTTCTAAGAAGTTCATGCCCATGGGGTACAGAAGAAGAATAGATATAAGCAGGCAAGCTAGTGTGGAGAGAACTTACATAGGGATGGTCAGGAAAGACAACGAAGGGAAAAAAGGAGACATATGTAGTACTTTCAACAATAAAAGTTTTAAAAAAAAACACACAAAAAAACAAGACAATGACAGGGTCAAGAAGGAAGTTAATCAAAAAAGCTAGCTGCATCTAGAGAAGACAGGAAGGACTAAGCAAACCAGGTCAAATACTGCTCAGCAGAGGTCGGTGCTATGGAACCACACCTGACTGTGAGGCACCATTCAGAGAAGCTCTGTGTTTGTTGGGAAAATTAAAAACTGAGCACCTACCATGAAGAATCAGACCAGGCAATGTCACATATCATAGCATCTCATTTATCCTCATCCCCCCATCCCCCCTTGTGGCTTGATCTTTGTGCAACTCTCTCCAACTACATGGGTTGGAAATTATAATTTCTAGATACACAGATACCCTCTCTACAACATTATTTATTAATACAAAACAGAAATCAGTATAAAGCCGATCTATACAGAGCCCATCTATGGGCATCGAGTTATTAATGGAAACGATTACTCTATGAGTGAAGCTATTTTACATTTTTGGGGTTATATACTCACTGCTTTCTTCAACTTGCCAATGGGAACTTTATGCTCTTGTCTGTCTGGTCAAGATTACATAGCTGTGCATCGCTCTACAGTTTAGATGTTATGGTTAAAGTGGTGGCACTATGATAATTAAGAGAAAAATTCTGATTTGTTCTAAATTAAATCACAGCAGACTTTCACATTCCTGTGCAGGGTGCAGCTGTGAATTGACTTCTGTTGCCACCACCCGTCACCCCATCCTGCATGTGTGTGAACTTCTGGGACTGTGGCCCACAACCAACCACAAGTAGTAAGTATCTCTTCTTCTTCTTACAGACTGTGCACTGTTCCACTTCATCTTTTTCCATCTGCCTCCTCGGTAGTCAATGTAAATTGTCTCAAAACAAGATACCACACGTTATCAGCCTGCTGCTGATGGTGAGGACTGTGTTACCCAGGACCCGGTCCTTTTCTGGCTAGCATCTGGCTCAATAACCCTTTCCTTTAATAAATCCTTGGCCATGGAATTTTTTTTTTTTTTAATTTAACACAATGTACCCTCTTTCAATTGTTGCAAAATAATCAGCAGTGACCCCAATATAATTAAAACAACAGTGTTATTCTAGAATCTGGGGATCTTTTTACTGTTCTTCTCCCTCCAACCCCAACCAAACACAGAGGGCAATTTTTCAGCCAATTCAGGTGGTGATAAGAATGCCGGACTGTCCTTGAGAGAGACAAGGTGAGCGCCAGCTGGTGTGGAGATCAATGGGCCAGTCTGACACAGACACTAGAAGAACACTTCTGAGTAAACAGGAGACACAGAAAAGTACTCGCACTCACCAAATACCATGATACATACTTTAAAGTCCAGCTGCTTCACGGGTGATTCTGTGAAGAACAGAGGGGCAAACCTGTGCCTTCTAGGACTGTTCTACACACACATATTATTGTCAATCTGCCTTCAGTTGCCACCAAGGAGGGTAGAGGTGGTACTAAACACCTCCCTTCCATCATAGACATTAACAAATACAATGTCAAGTAGAATTTCTAAAACGATGAATAGGTAAAACATTCCATGTTGTTACTGTATCACCCTCTGCAGTGAACCTGCTAACACCCAGACCCGGGGCCTCTGGGGGAAGGGATCCCCAGCCTGGCAGGGTCTGCCACATAGTGGCCACCTTTATAGGCCCTCCTATAATCACTGTATGGGTCTGTAAGCAGCTGCTGTTGGGCTGAGTTTCAACACTGCATAAAGTTAACACCGCATAAATTAACACAGGAAATCCCCCAAGAAAGGGGAGCATATCTGAAAGTTATAAAGAACTGCTTCCTTTGTTTAAGGAATGGTTAAGACTTAATCTTAATGCATAGAAAGAAATTCCTTGCATTTGGTCATCATTTGCGTTTGGGGCCTGCAGAAACCCCTTTACAGACAGCTGGGGAAGTCTCCAAAGGAGGCCCGGGTTCGCAGCAATGCTGCTCTTTTCCTTCTGCTTCCTGCTGCCCAGGAAGGGACACGGCAGCTCCCACGGTCAGACAGAGGAGGGCCCGGAGACCAGAGACCATGTGCCAACTCCACTTACTAAAATGATCTTAACTGTGTTCCTCCAATGGTTCTGTCACACAGTAATCTTGTCAACTGGTTTCTGAATTACAGCGGCAGGTGGGCTATTGGCTGTCGCTATACAGTTAGAGGAACTGTGGCCACCCTGGATTGCTAAACAATCGCCACAAAGAGAATAAAAATAGTTTCCTTTTTCTATAAAGGATACCTTTCAGTCTCGGGCCGAGCTTCCCAGTGTCTCGCCAACACTTCAAAAGCCCTATGAAAGCTGGGTTGGGAAGCAGGAAGGCTTCCAGGGAAAGGGTTATGGGGAATCCAAACGGGGCACAGGTCCTGGGTGCCCGCGAGTTTTACTAAGGAGGGACAGGAGAATGGAGCGAGTGGTAGAGAGAGAATGAGACGATTGTGAGATAGAAGCAAAAGGGATCGATAAATTCAATTCGGGAGAAAAGCGAGCTTTGCCGGCACGCCAAGTACTTCTCCTGACCACCTGGAGATCTGATTAGCTAACTCATTTTGTTTCCAATATTGGGCTGATTCCCCCCAGCGAGGGCCGTTCTTTCTTCCTGCTTTGGAGGAAACAAAACACGTGTTACCTTTTTTATGCCTGGACCTTGATCCACATCTCCCATGATAATGCTCTGCGTAATATTCAAATTAAGTGACAAGTAACGAACTGTTTATGCAGTTGGCTGCCACAACAGACACAACACTCACTGCGGTCCTAACCTGAAGGGTAGGCACCACAAAAGAAATGCCTATTAAGAAAAATCAGAGTCTATTACCACGTTAGTATTTCTTCTATTAGATCCTGATTTTAATAAAAGGAAAGGTCATAAAGCAACTATTATTCTCAGAAAGTGGTGTAGAAAAGGATTCCCATGACCGAAGAGGCTGGGCTAACAATTTAGTTTGAAATTTAGTTTGCTCTGATGTGGCTCCAAATTCAAATGGCGGGGACCTTGCAGGACAT